TTTGTCCAGAATGCACGATGACCAGTACACCACTAGTCAGCGCTAACAGGTGGTCTAGTGGTCATCGTGCTTCATAAACAATATTTAGCTTCTGTGCGAGCCTTTAACCTCGGACGGCCCCCGCGAAAGCATCCTCCTCAAATTACAACATCGTATTATAAATTTCATTCGCCAATGTATGTTAGGTACACACTAGTGCGGTCGCAACGCATTGAGATGACACCGGTGACAAAACGTCCTCATTGGTTTGTTGTTGTTGTTGTTGTTGTTGGTGGTGGTGGTGGTCGTGGCGGTGGTTCTGTTGTTGTCGTCAAATAAATGTAACACGAACAACTAAGTCTTGACGGAATCAAATTCTACCCTGTCGAGGACGTCCGAAACGGAACGGAACCAACCCAGTTACACGGTTCTCGGTACATCTCGGATGAGAGGCAGTAGCATGCGATGACTTCTTTGAAACACAATACGGTCTCGTAAACACCGGAAATGACGCCGACATCATCTGGGCGCCTGAAAATGAGAGTCCGTCCGGAGGGTCGCACTGTTGTGCCTCGGCACCACACTCCAAAGAACTATCGCGATTGTATCCTGCACTTGCAACGATGGATGCAAGGGATCCTGTTTTCGCAGATAGATGCGAGTGAGTTCGTCAACTACATGTAGGAAATGGGTGATGAGCAATTTTCACCAACCTGTTGCTGTGTGAGATGTTTTATCCCCGTCTGTGCCCGCATATCCTCGCATGTCACCACTCGCCAATGTGGCCTCTGTGAACACGTAGACGTAGTCGTCTTCATCTGGTAGTCAAAGAAAGAAGGCAATGGGTGAGGGGGAGGGTAGACATCCGTTCTTTGATGGCGGAGCTGTGTGCATGTGTAGACTATTGGTTCTACAGGAGTCTATTTAGGCTACAGCAGTATAATATGTACCGCCGCCATACCACCAAAACACAAAAAAGAACGGTGGACTCCTAGACAAATACCGCGGTTGCTCTCCAGGTGGCGAACGCCATCTCTCCATTTGGACTGTCAACGTTTGGGCAGATCGTGGCCTAACACTCTCGCGACATGTCATCCGAGGACCACGTTCATACCTTCGGCGTCATGTGAATGAAGTGTTCGAACCCCATGTGTTTGAATCGGTTGACGAGGACGGAAGGAAGTGATGCCCGCGAGGTTTGTTTACAAACAACTTTCCTATGGAAACAAGAATAAATTCTCACTCACCCTCGCGGAAATAGATGCTGCTCAGCTGCTCCATATCAGGTGGCGGTTGATGTGAACGGGGCCGTTTCAATTGCACAGCTCCCGGCAGAATTCTCGATGTGTCGGCGTTTGCTGAACTCTCAACCGGGTGTGTCGTGCCTGCGGTGTGAACTAAGGTGGGAATGAGGAATCGGGGCTATCGTGCTACACCTCTCGAGATGTGGCATGGGAGCTCTTCGAGAACACATAAATCAAATTCGTATTCTGTTCTGGGCTAACCTTTTCCTGCACCTTTCTTGCTGCTATTCCTGCGTTCCGTTCTTCGTGGTGGGAGCATGTCGAGCGCCGCAGGCGAAAAACCAAACGGCACCAATTCCGCCGCAAAACACCTGGAATTTTTTCATTGATTGGTCGATTCGTCACATTCAAATAAAGTTTCTGGACGATGAACATCTACCGGCCCCCCAAGGAATTTTTTCGAAACCCGGACACGAATAGACGCAAGTCTAGGAAAACCCATAAACAACCTACGAGGTATCTGCTGCCTAAACTCCGTAAGGATAAGGTAGCTTGTCGAAGTATAACCACATGCTGTGCTACTACTACTACGGAAGGGGCGGAAAGAATAGTGCACACGTGTCTAGCTGAAATGTTGCCAGTCTGTGATGCATTGTGGAGAGAAGTTGGTAGCTCCATTGGAATTGACTCCCCCAGTAGTTGGATTACGAAAGGTGGAGACGAAATCCTGGAGATTTTATCTGACGCAGACCAGGTGGCACGTTCGACTGGTGCTTCTGCCCCACATGTTGTGGAAACATATGACTTTGTTGCCATGTATACTACTAGCATACCTCTGTCTACTCTCTTGGTTCAATTGAAAGAATTCATAGATCTGGTGTTTGACTTCCAATTTCGTGATTCTGGATATTGTTCAATAAATGTACAATATGGCTTTAAGAATAGTTGTCCTTTCATTATCAAAGAAGAAGTACATTGATTGGTCAACGGAGGAACCGGTTGCAGCACATTTAGAAGTCGTGAAGGAGAAGACATTTCTTGTCGGGATAGAACGTCTTTTTAAGTGGTGTGAGTTTGTTCTGACGGAAGGTTATGTTCAGTTTGGACCTCACATGTATCGCCAATCCTCTGGCATATTCATGAGATCCTCACCTGCACCTGATTTTGCCAATATATTTGCTTATATGCATGAACTAAGGTTTTATAAAGAGATGGTTGCAGAGTTCCGGGAA